CAATGACTACATTCACATCTTAATTTTTAAAAAGCAGTATGATATATCTCCCCACAAACAAAAATGCAGCCATAGTAGAAGTAAACTCTATAAAGTTGTTGAGGGCCATATGTCCAGTATATTTTCCTTAGCCTTCCTATCCTCTCAGTGCAGTAGATGCCAGTTTGAAATGGTTCTTGGAAGAAAATAGAGCTACGTATACACTCTTTTAAACAAATTTGTTATCAAATGTGTGAGATACTGTTTCTGAGAAATTGTTTTAAAATGACAATTGGAAATATTCTGGTTACCACTTATCATGTATTCTGCATGTGATTTACATTCTTTATTTAAAACATGGACAAATGGATTAATAAAGTGTGTTAATGATTCAGAACTAGGGACCTCATTTTGATCTAATGTGTACAATTGCATGCTTAAAAAAAATAAGAGATAGCCACAGCATTTCTCTCTAGCTATCTTTAAAAATATACACAGTGGCCACTGGCAAGTGTGTAGTAATGTTTAAGGTAAGTTGTCATGTTCTATTTGTATCAATTTCAATAAATGTACTATCTATTCTCCAAACCTTTGATAAACACAAGAATCAAAAGTAGGCTGTGAATAATAAATCTTAAACAGTAACCACTCTAGTCTATTGCTGCATGCATAGACTTTCTATGAAAAATATCTGAATCCAAGGTCATCTATGTCATTGAGTTTCAACACACCATGTGTTCTGTGTGCTGTGTGTGTGTGATTTGTAGAGCCCTTAAATTTAAACTTATTTCAAAAAGGAAGCATCAGTGTGGTGTCTAACAAGGTTGTATGAAGAGGTCATCAGACTCTAAATACATCAAAAACAAGTAAAAACTGCATTTTGTTCCAAATCAATTTGGTAAGCTACTATGTTGACTTCTTACAATCTAAAAAAATTAAATTTACTGTCTTTGAGTCAAGTCTTTTAACATTTCATATTGTTTTATTGATGAATAAAGAATTCAGACTTTGGGATCTTGACCAAGACAAATTATATATGGAATAATTAGTGCTAGTCAGGATGCTATTAATAGAGCATATAAATATTAATTTTTCAAAAACAGCAATTACAATCAAAATTAAATGTGCAAGTAAACCCTGCATTGTTTTTGCCTATCCTGCTCCCAAAGATAGGATTATTTTAAACCATGATGTGAAAGTATTTCCAGATAATTTATTCACTATTGGTAGGAGAGTTTATATAGTTTGATATGCAAATAATTGAGAATATCATTAAATATCTTGTATTTATGAATATCTAATGAGGGTGTGTCCACTGCCCTGTTAGAGACGGACATCTTCAAGGTCTCATGCCTTCTCTGGAAAGCCCCTTCTTCTGTCTTTGACAATTCATCAAAATTTCTTTAAAAAATTCTGGGGCAAATTTTGCCATTTGATTTTCAGGCTTTAGAATTAGGTATTTTCTTGTCCATCCCTTTTTTTATTACCTGTCTGAGGTAAATTTACATTAACAACCACCGCAGAAACAATCCTGTTTTTTTCCTCCATGGAAATTAAATGTGATATTATAAATGGAAATATTATCTATTGATAGATATACAGATTCTAACTGTTTTTGAGTCTTAGTGAGACAGACTTACAGAGTTTTTAAAGAGTTGGGTTCAAGTTAAAGAATGACAGGTGACCAGATAAAGTCTGGGTTAGAGGGACTGGATAAAAAGCCATCAATTTGGAAGGGAAAGCAAAGATAAACGGTCATCCACCTTATTTGATAGATGAGGTCATGGAACTAGTCTTACGTATAGTTAAGGTATAAGTTTTCACAAGACAACTTCCAATAGAAAATATTTTCTAATTCATTTCCAACAATAAGAGATTGTTTGCTATCACACAATTAATTCTTTCATAGTCAACAGTGCACGTGCAATCAATACAGGTATTCGTGACAAAAAATTATGGAAGTACTAGAAACCTGATCTCTATTTTATCAAGATTACATCTGGTTACCCCTGCTATTATCTTCACTGGAGTATGCAACATTAGCATTCAGCATCCCCTTTACCCCCGTCACACACACTCTGTCCTTGCTGGAGTTTAGTGGGTACCAGAAGCAAAGGCACCTGTTTAGGCACCTTTGGGAGAAGTTATGCTTAAATTTATAAAAAAATATATTTGAGAACATTATACACTAGAAGGACAACAATCATCTACGCTCATTTTTGATTTTCACTTCTAAGAGACAATCTAGCAGAGATGTTACTCTAGGATCTTGTGAATTTTCTAACCCAAGGTTATTTCTGCTTGCCTAAGAAAGAGAAGGAACTGAAAAATGCCTGGATGATCAAAATGTTGCCAAGTTGGCTTGTCTCGAAATGCTTTGATTTCACTGGCATTCCGTGAGGCAATCACTTTGATGTTTGTTTAAACTAAACAAAAGTGAAACTACTAAGGCATTCGATTCACAAATTTAATGTACATTTATTTGTGGGTGGGTGCATGTGTTTGTGGTTACAGTAAGAAACGGATTATAAGAGAATGGTGTGGCTCTTAAGGAGTGAATTTCTTCTTTTACCCTCACTATTTTTTTAAAAGGGAAAGAAATTATCAACTAGGAAGAGATAAAGCTTATTTAGAAGCTTCATTTCCCACAGCATATTGGGATGCATTTAAAACTGAGAACAGCCTTGAAACCTTGTGCTGGTTTTGCCTAGATGAGGATTGAGTTTCTGAAGACAAGAGTACAAACACAGTATAGACATGCTATCCATTGAAAACACTGAATCTATACATTCGAATAATAATAAAAAAGTACTCTTTATATATAAAATGTCTCCCAGATACCAAAAGATCAAATAAAAATCCCACCCCTCCTACAGCGTTCCTAGGTTGACTATATGCTTATTTGAGAAATGTCTCACAGCACTTGTTTCAGTGCAGTATTTTCTAGTTTACGGGGCTGGAATCAAAGGGACCACTATTCCCTCTGCCCCAACACACAGACTTAGGGAGTCAGTGTTCCCTATAGCACCATACTGCAGGATAGGTGTGCATGACTGTGGCATACATCAGACATATTCTGGTAGAGATCTGGTTACTGATAGCCTTAGCCATAGGCACCCAAGGCCCCACTCAAACTACAGCTCTCATTCCGTCCAGAAGCCAATGGGCATTCTCTTGAAGTCTGCTTGGCTCTTCTGTTCTCTTTTTTAGTGGGTCTGATTTGTTACTATGATCAAAACAGTTTAATTTATGAAGTCCTATATACAACACTCTTCTTCCTCCAGACAGCCTTGCTATTGCTACTTAGAAATAATGTAAATCATTGGAGGTGTGATAAATGTACAAATATTTAGTTTTTAACCCATAGCAAGGCAGATATTGAGCTAGAGTGTAAACCACAGAGCACTTAATGTATATAAGAAATTTAGGAAGAAAATTTTGATGCTGATTTTCCAAAATCATTTCTACTATTTCTCAATATTGTAAGATTGCTCACATATTTTGAATGGCATCCCACAGTAGTCACAGGCAAACTAGAATAACATATGCTTTACAAAACAAAAAGATATATCAGAAAATGAGTCAAAGTAAAAAAATAATGGGTACCATCCATCCTCCGGTAAATAATGAATATGTAGCGTATTTAATTACAAATTTCCAAATATATATTCACATCATAAAGACAAGGACAATTAAGCAAAATCAAATGCGTTTTGTTGAAATAAGTACTTCCCTGTAGGCGCATGACCTTGAAGGCCCAAGTACTGATGGCTCCAAGTATTTTCTATGTTAGATTCACTTTGAAAGTACTGATGCCATCAGCACTTGTCCATTGGTGCCCAATGACGTATATTTTGACCTTGGATACTTTTCACAGGAAAGCATCATATTGCTAAAGGAGACAAATGACCACTAAAGAGTAACCATTAATATAGATTACTTATGGAGGATTTTGTCTTGACTATTAATTAAGGAAGTAATTGTATATCTAAACTTTATATCAGACAGCCAGTGGATTTACTGCTTTTTTAGAATACATAGGGGTGAAGTTATAATCACATAACATATTTTTTCGTATTTTTTTTTAAATAAGGGGTTGGACCAAGACTTAAGTTTCACTGACAATCTTAATGTTTTCAGTGTAAACAATATGTTAGTATAACTGCAATGAGTTATACAGCATATACCTTCTTAATGCTAAATTCAGAACCAATCTTCCAGATAAGCAAGTAAAACATTTTAGTTAAAAAAAAATATATAAGAACAAGGTTGACTTCAACAAAGTTGTGAGGCCTTCCAGCTGTTTGATAATTGTGATAAATTTCAACACAATGACATATTGGATGCTCAACTTATCGGGTTTTTATAGACCTGTTAGTTTTTAAGACCATTTTCTAAAATGTTTCCATACATACAGTATTTTTAAATGAGAACTTAGATGATCCAGACATTACAAATTTATGATAATCTTTTACAATTCTACCATTATTACCTCTGTATTCAAAACAATGGAACTGTAAAAGAAAAAATAATAAATATCACACAACCTTTTTTTAAATGTAAAGTGCATTTTTACCAAAGTGTTTCAACATTTGAGACCTTAAATTTCTATTAAGTAGTTCTGATAAATACATAGTGCTCTTTCTTTTTTCTGGATGACAGTATGTCTACTAATAACAGATGTTCCCAAAGACCAATTTGCAATGTATTTTCAACAGAAACAACTTAACCTGAAATATGAATTGTATCTCTTTACGGCTTGACTCAGAAATAGTTACATTCCTTTTCCATGGAATGTGTCTTCCACAAAGAGATTTTAACCAAGGTTTTCCCAAACTGCAGTAAAAGAAATCTTTTATGCTTTCAAATACTGTGCCTTTTTATTTAAAACGGTGTAAACATAACAACTCAACACCACCAATAATTGGAAAAGACTGGGTATATGAACACTAATTTCCTCATATGTCCCATGAAAATGAGGGTAAATAAACAGACAAATCTTCAGGAGAGGTTTCAGTTCACCTTAGCAGTGGTAAAAATATTGCTTTATTCCAAATGAACATACAACACAATTTACTGTTCTTTTGGGGGCTTCTTGTGAACTGAATAGTCTGGGTTTTTTGATTTCAACAAGTTATTCTTCCCATACTAACCACAGAAGCCGAAGCCTCGGTCCACACGTAGTAGACTTGCTATAAAATAAATAGTAATGAGGATGATGAGAAAGCAAATGGGAACTGTCAATTTGTTAATTGTCTTGTGTTAATAATTTAAGTAGGTATGATTCAAAATAAACACACATCCTCGGTTAACTCACCTGATGATACTGATATCATTAATGAGCCAATAGTTGTTCCTCTCAAAAGTATTCACATCAGAAAATGGTCTAGACAGTGTCAAGAGTTTTATAGGACTCCACCATGCAAGTGACCTTGATTTAAGAACTGACTGAACTTTATACTTAATGGAAAAATTTAAAGTGAACAGATCTAAGAGGGAAATACTTTCTCTGAATATTAGATTCCCTGATGTTTCAGAACAAATTTTAGCAAGCGTAATACGCGCACACATGCACACACATACGCACAATGAACACATGTGCATACAGCATATGTGCTCGCGTGAGCAAGTCCACACACACACACACACACACGCTTGCACACACATGTGCACACAGTCACACAAAAACTGTGAAATGCTCCTCCAGAGCCTCTAAACAATCTCAAGGAAAAACATTTCTATTAGCATGATTTTAGTGACATGACATAGTGAATTTTTGTTGTCTCTTTTTCTGTAATAATTTCAGACCTCCAGCTGAGATGTGTGCATTCAAATCTCAGAGGAAGGTGGCACACAGGAGGAGCTCCGATGGCCCCCGGTTTCTCCTTCTCTCTCCTGTCCTCCTTCGCATCGCAGTCTTTTGTGCCATTCTCCAAAAATCAAATAGAAAACACTGCATTTGTCGACGTGACATAACCTGTGATGAGGCTATTGGGTGAACAGAAATTTAGGGCTCGGGACTGGCAAGCCAAATGGCAAGGGCCACCTGCTCACTGGCGCATCCACCTACGGATACAGCGCTCCTCTTTTTGAAACCAGGTAATTGCCAGTGCTTTTGAATGAGGCACTGGCGCTGTGGGGCCAAGGGTCTGAATTGCCCACATCTCCTAAGAGCCAAAGAGGACAGTGGTGGGACTAACTGAAATTGGATTCAGAATTCTACCCAAAGCTTTAATTGTAAGCTTTATCCCTCCTGAAACATTTCTTTCCCTTAAAAAAATATTTTGTTAAAAAACACTATGATATGAGGGCGATAGACTATTTGGTTTCTTCTAAGTAGATGCTCTTAAATTAATGCATATAAATAATTTGTATTCGATTTCCTCTCTTTCCTGTTGAGCAAAGCATAGAATGCACAGATTCCTACATCTCAAGTCACTTGGTCAATGCAGAGTCTCTTTGTATTTCATTTCTTAAGACAAATTGTGCCTCTCGTTCTGATTTGGCCGTGGGACTCAGGGGGAGAAAGGCTGTGTTTTCGCTTGCACTGTCCTCGGTTTCTACGCTGGCCAGTTCGTAGTCTTCTGACCGTCTGGCATCAGTCAGAATTCGGATCTGCTCCTGGACAGTTTCTAGCAATATTTTCACTTCTTGTTGTTCTGCTATAAGACAATCGCTGACTGGAATACTCACATTGACAACGTCAGCTGAATAGGAGTTTTTGCACCATTTGATGCTTTTGACTTCGGAAATCCCTGGCATTTGCATGCAGGTTTCCTCTAGACCCACTGAAGGGATGATGGGCACAGAACTGGCCCTTGTGGATGAATAGCCCACCAGGTCCTTTTGCTCCAAGCTATTAAAATAGGGGTTTGTCTCTCTTGAAGGCAGTTGCATATTTATTGATGTATTTCGTTGGGTTTTTAAACCACTGGATGAATACCTGAAAAAGAAACAAAGTGTTACTCCTTCTGCTTTCTGTTGGGCTTTGTTAGAGCAAAACTCAATCCACAAAGCACTTTTCACATGCACCATCTCACTGAATTCTCACAGCAACCCCATGAGACGGATAATAGGTTCCCAGTTAAACAGAGAAGTAAACTGAAGCTCAGATAGGTGAAGTGACTTGCCCAAGGTCACACAGAAAATAAGTGACAGACTGAGACTCAAACCCAGATCTTCTTACTTTAAGTCCAGGGGTCTTTCAACACACCACAGCTGTATAGGCAGGTGGGATATAGTCTTCCTGACCTCTATCCTAGAATACAAAGTAAATGGCGATTGAGCAGGTAAGTGTGGCCTTTCCATAGTGAAAAACAGGACACCCATAATGGCATTAGTCCACTACAACAACTCAACCACCCTCTCAGCCCTGGGTTAGTCCAGTAGACTTGTTTTGGCCACCCTAGTTAGAGCCGATCAAGAATTCCAATATTAAGCATCCAGGTACTACAGTCATGAGTTTTCCTGCTTCGCACTGATTTTAGGGGATCCAAATCCAATTGCTACTGTCCCTGTGCTCTAAAGGAACCACCTCACTGCCAGACTGCTGAGCCAGCAGATGGAAATGGGAAGCTCGCAATTCCTCTACCTACCTGGGGATGAATATTAAGTGGGTTCCATAGGGCTTCTACCCATCTAGTACCTTTTCTTACATAGTTTCTGAAACCAAGTAAGGTAGCTCTTTGGTGCATGGCAAGGGCTTGTCAAGAACGCCAATATGCCATTGCAAGTCATTTGAATGTAGTAGAATCAAAATCTAAGTTCCTTCTTGCCTGTTCAGGGTTAGTAAATCTTTCACCTCTGTGCTGTTCAGTGAGGGAAAATGGGACAGGTACATAGCAGATTTGTAAAAACGGGGTTTTCGAACTTGGACAGTAGTGTTTTATTCTATTTCTTAGCTATTTGTCCCTAATTTGAATTAAACATTCAAATTTTGACACAATTTAAACACATCAACCTGCCATATAATAAATCTCATTTCCTTGACTTCCATTATGATGTAAATGAAAATCATGTTTATACATGTAGACAATAATGGCAATGCAGTGTGTTGCATACTAAACACAAGTCCTTATTGTAAGGACATGATGGGAGCAAATTAGAGGTCTTTCCACCAGGTAGTGAACAAAGACAGGAATGAGCTTTAGGCCTTTGTAGTCCCACCCTCTCTTACTGTGCCTAATACAGAGTTGGCAATCAAGATACTTTGATTAAATGAACACATGAATACATATAAACAAATCTTCAAGGTAAACTCTCCCTTGATATCCTACTTCATGTCTATTTTCAATCTTAATAACAACAGGTAACATATATACAGAGCTTGTGAAAAATCACTTTCACCTCCAATTACCTCATTTTATTTTTTTAAAAACCTTGGAGGTTATTATTATTATAATCTAATGGATGAGTAAAATAGACTAACAGGTACTCAGATGACGTCTCCAAAATTATATCTTTAATAAGTGTTACACAGAGAGTTTAAACCCAAGTTGTCTTACTCTAATTGTTACTGTCAAAGATAGAGGTTGCTAATGAAAGAATATCCTAAGTTGAACCAGAACACCTTTTTGAAGATGTAATCTTTATTAATACAAACTGCAAAGCCACATATTTGGAAATTCTTGGGGAATATATTACTCCATTCTCATTAATTGTATGTGTCTACAAACATGAGCCTAAAGGTTCAAATCAATAAATCACTTTCAACAAGAAGTAAAGAAACAAATTTCAGGTTTTTGTTTTGCTCTCAGCACCATCCTGTTAGCATGATTTGTAGGTATAGAAAGTCTGCCTGTCAGAGTCACCAGTGAAACAGAGACAAGAAATGCAGCCAGGATAGCATTTCGCATAGATATCAGGGTATATCAGCTGGTAGAACCTGGTTAGTTGATACGTGATGGTGATAGGTAGAAATTCTTATACTTGGATCTAAACAGTTGGATAAATGTGCAAATATCTTAGAGAATGTTTTTAAATTGTAAATTCAACAATTCAACTATGTGGCATGGCTAAGATATAATCGAAGGCAATTCATGCCAAATGTGGAGCATTTGTCTCCTATGCCAGCGGACTGACTAAAGGATTTAGATGAGAAAGAGGAATTGCAGTAGACTATTACGTGTCACTTCCTAAGTCAGGCATTGAACACATGACTGGCAACAACTAAAATTTAAAATGTTACCATGACATAAAGATGAGCGTTTAACAATGGGAACTTTCCAAACTGTGATTTTGTTTTGAATCAGACATGATTTCAAGTTCCAAAATTATTATATGCTCAGGAATCTCAGACAAGTGGCAGCCTCATTTTAATTTTGCCAGCCATTAAAACAATCAGGTAGTAACACTAACTTGATTGCTCAGGGAGAGGGGGAATTTTTCTGAGGACTAATTGAAATAATGTCTCCGCCCTGTTCCATCACAGACATGAGGGCAAGCCTTATTTCTCCCCTAGAGATGCTGTGAGTGTCCCAGCACTGGTATTCCAGCAGAAGTTTCAGTGAGACCTAAATTTGTAGATGTGATTCTGAATCAGAGGATTCAAAGTTCTGTATCCTTTGAGGGTCAGTGATGCCTCCACAAGTTCGGTCCATGAGATTATCATTTCACTTTGGGCCAGTCTCCCTCTATTCCCTCAACAAAGAAATTACAAATGTATCTTGTCTGTAACTATGTGAATCGAAGCTTTCTTTCAAAGAAGAAAGATTCCAATGATTAGTCACTTGGTTTGGTTCCCAGTCATTCATGGGTCAGGCTAAGAAATTTATGTTTCTCTAGGAGACTCCAACCTTCTCAGTTCCTAGGGCACATGACAATGAATGGACAGACTATTTTGAAGGCTTGCCTCTGAAGTCATAAAATTAGATACTCCATTTACAAATCATCAGCCATAAATACGATTCTCTTCACATTCCTTGTAGATTTAGTAGTTTAATTAGTCAGAAAAGCCAGTATCTCAGCTCTTTCACATGGGACTATGTATGTCACATTGGGCTAGTCATTTAAACTCTGATATCCTCAGTGTGCTTATCTATAAAATTTCTAAAGAATAACTGAAGAGAACTATGTAAAGTTGCTAGCTAGGTATGGTAGGTACTCAGTGTATTTTGAATTTTGTCTACTTTTAAGGTGTGAATCTAACTTTTGTGATTCTACCTCTTTCTGTCTAGCATACAAACACATCAGCTTGATTTTCCTGACATGATACAGTTCAGACTCTGTGAGCCATTACCATGGTTGTCATTGACCAGGGCTCCAGTCATGAGAAAGCTTCCTCAAGAATCTCCGCTCCACCTCACTCCTTCCCTAGGCTACACTAAGTTAGGTTCAGGCTGGGCTGAAGTTCTTGCCAAAGAGAGAAGCCACATATGTTGGGAACCTAACTGTCGTCGACAGCCCCCACATGCTTGGTAAACAAGCAGCAGATGGCTGATGAGTCTTGCAAATTCATTTCCCCCACACCTCCAGCTGGGGCCAGATTTAAGGAGGGCCTTTAGCTGTGAAATTCTATTACCAATCCCATTTCCAGTCCAGAGAGACAGTCAGCCCCTGGGAGTGCAAAATAGCTGTTTTTAAGAACTAAGAATGAGATTGCTCCCTGAGATTGTGCTGGGCATATAGCGACTTATACTTAGAGTCACCATTTATCAACATTGAGTACGTATCAGACACGGGAAAACACCTGCGGCCAGACAGCTGGAGAGAATATTCCCAACTCAATGGTGATTGAACCAAGGCTAACGCCTGTAATCCCAGCACTTTGGGAGGCCAAGGCGGGCAGATCACAAGGTCAAGAGATTGAGACCATTCTGGACAACATGGTGAAACCCCGATCTACTAAAAATACAAAAAAATTAGCCGGGTGTGGTGCCACGCGCCTTTAGTCCCAGCTACTCAGGAGGCCGAGGCGGAAGAATCGCTTGAACCCGGGAAGCGGAGGTTGCAGTGAGCCCAGATTGCGCCACCGCACTTCAGCCTGGTGACAGAGCAAGACTCCGTCTCAAAAAAAAAAAAAAAAAAAAAAAAAGAAAAGAAAAAGAACCAAAACAAAACCACCACCATGCAAAAATAAGCTGAGTCTTCTAGGAGGTTAAAAAAGCAAAGAATTGCCTGAACATGCAATGAGATCTCTGAGCTCCTGATGATACACGCTTGGTTCAAGCTTGAGCCGGCCATAGGCTCCAAGCATCCTTACTCCTCGAACATATGGAATTATACTTGTACCACTGCCCAATAGAAAAATCGCCAGCATGGGCTCGGTTTTTCATCCACTCACAAAATCTCTGAATTTGATCTTCCCTCACTTGTTCTCCTTCTAACATTCATCCTAGGGATTTTATGTATATGTATATAGTCATATTCATTTGTAAGAAGCATCATTAGTCAGTTATAAAGAAACGGCACTATGAAACATGATCGATTGTAATTATGGGTTAATTGCAAGCCCGCTTTTTCAGAGATAAGGCCAAGAGAAATGCAAACTGCTTCTTGACTCACGTTACACATTTTGAACCCCTTGGCTGTTACGTTTACTTTGCAACTGTCACCCTAAATCTGTACCAAATGCCTTTTTACAGTCCGTTTGGAATTGCTTCAAAATGATCAAACCTAGCCACTGGCCATTTATTTCCTATCTTCTGTTTTCCTAAAGAAATCTGTGGCTGAGCTTTCTTAGAAAGGACATGGCTCCATATATCCCATACCCATATGAAAAGAGAAACGTGAAGCTCTGTGCTAGAACTTGCCCCTGTTTTGGTCTTTAGCTTGAGAGAGATAGTCTGGAAAAATTATCCAGTCAAAGCAGCATAAAAACCTGGCCTGGCTCCTTCAGAGACAGAAAAACAGAGCCTCAGGACCCTGACTTTAGTGAGGGAACTGATTTCTGAAATTTCTAGGGTAAACCCTGATTGCAGTGCTCTTGAAATTAATGAAAAATTGTAACAATTACTGGGACAATAACTACCAGTACTACTTTTCTTCCTACTATGTGTGTAGCACAAACACATAATTTAAAAAACTCTGCCCAACAATCCTCAGGGGATTGATATTATTTTGCTCAATTATTTTTATATTTTTGTTCTTTCTTGAGAAAGGGTCTCACCCTGTCACCCAGGTTGGAGTGAAGTGGCACCATCTCTACTCACTACAGCCTCCATCTCTGAGGCTCAAGGGATCCTCCCACCTCAAGCAGCTGGGGCCACCTCAAGCAGCTGGGGCCACAGATGTGTGCATCCATGCCCAGCTAATTTTTTGTGTGTGTTTTTGGTAGAGATGGGGTTTTGCCATGCTGCCCAGGCTGGTCTCAAACTACTGAGCTCAAGGGATTGTCATGCCTCAGTCTTCCAAAGTGCTGGGATTATGGGTATGAGCCAGTGTGGCTGGTCTATTTTGCTCCATTTGTAGATAAGAAAATCTAAGATCACATGATAAAATATTCTCAAAGTTACACTAGTAGTACGGAGCAGAGATGGGATTTGAATTCCAGTCAGTTTAAGCGAGGATCACATGTTTGGTTGGGCAGTTTATGGCAACTACGTGAATAATGGCTGACATTCATCTCATACTCAGCTCACCATCCTTTGAGGCCTGTCAGGATCTATGTCCACCAGAGGAAGGGATACCTTTTGTACTGTAAGAAGCAGCGGTGATAGTGTCCAAAGCCCATCCTTCTACCCCTGTACCATGAGTAACTTGCAGATATGAGTTCAGTAAGTTGTACTTTGACTTTGAACTCTCAGCATTGACCCAGATTCTACCTCAAGCTCAGAGGAAGCAGATACTGTATATATGCCGTGGGCTATTGTTTAGTATATTGCTCACCATATTTATCAGAGAATTAGGTCATTTTTTTAACCTGCAGTTGAAGGAACACTTTAACCCTCTTAAGAAACCTGTATTATTATTATTTTTAAATCAAAGACAAATTTCCAGTTGTATTAGCAAATGATATCTACACTTACTTTCTTCTTAGGGTTATATTTCTAATCTAATGATTCTCTGATACCTATTTCCATCATACCTATACTTTAAAGTTGGTTCACTTTTTGTAGAACGATGATGGTAATAAGCATATATAGCCAGTTAATGAAGAAATCAATGAATAAAACCACAAGGAATTTAAAATTTAAAGCTATGGCATTAAAGACACCCTCCCTAAATTCTATTGCTGTTTTGAGACCTACCCTTGGCAAGGTACTGTTTCCTGGTCTGGGATCCTTGATTCTTCCAGTTGTTGATATGCTGGTCCCACAATTCCACCTAGCCTACTTCGGGGTGACGGGGGTGTCCTTCTGAAGGCATTCCTATGGAGCATGCCACTCCTTTGCCCTGGGCTGCAGCAAGAGGATAGACTCCTGCTGGGGTGGAAGGAAAACAGACAAACAAACAAAAGACATCATAGCAATAGCCTCATAGGTGGCTGCTCAAGCTTTGCAAACACAGAATCTGCACGCCAAATCCTCCAATTCTAGGCCGGGGGCTATCCACGAATGTAGTATATATGTGGTAGCATGGGCTCAGGAATAGCCCAGTCGTTTTACCTTTGGAGACACTGAGACAAAGGGAAGTTCCTGCATTTCTGGCTTTTTAAGTTAGAGCATGACTGATAGAAATCATTACAACTTTCTAGCCAGGGATAAGAGAAGAACTTAAGGAATTCCCAAGCTCCTCATTCCCATCCGTCCTCATTATCCAAGCCATTTTAGCTGTCTCACCAATAGAAATAAAAATAGCCTTCTTATGAGTCACTGACAAAAACTAAACAGAGTGAGCCCAGAAGGGATTTATGGGGAAAAAAAAATCCACTTATTAGTGATAGAATTAACCAGTTTTAATTAGCATTTTCTCATTAACATATGTGTTAAATTCCCAGTTCACTACCTCAGATTTTAATCAATCTTGACAAACTAAATTATTTTTCTTTTGAGTTTGCTTTTAATAAACATCAGATTATATATTTTATTTGACTTATACATCCAAATGCCTAAATAATCATATGTTTATAGATGACATCAATGAGCAAAACATGTAAGTGGGTTATACCACAGGCCTTAATAAAGTGAGAATTCCTACATAGATTATGTACAGAAAAGAACTAGACTCTGTAAAAATCCATTGCTGAGGAGACTCATTCCCTGTTCCATATCCATTCCCATCTCCACTCCACTGAATTAACCCTACTCTAGACTGGTGAGGAGAACTTTGTTCATGTGTAGACATTCCAAGAGATGCTAGTTTATGTGGTCAAACTGGTTTTGCAGTGCTCAAATAATAAAGGAACTAAGAATTTCGTGCTGCATTCTCATTTAACTTTGTAAACATCAGTACAACCATAGAAGGAAAGATGGAAACATTCTCAACATTTCAACAAATTTATCAAGGTTCTAAAGAAAACGGTCTCTCAAAGGAAATTTTACTTATATCACTATATTATTTGAACTGTTGTCACTTTTCTTCCCCCAATCTTACTGTTAATTCTACTTAGTCAATACAAAACAAGACTTTGCAAATATCATTTAAGGTCAGAGTTTGAAATCTGACGTTTGAGTGTTAGTCGCCACTTTCTTGGTTGTGGCAAGGTGACTGATGAAACTTTATATTCCTCAAGCCAACACTAACTTCCTAAATTTGTGAAAGCAGGATTATATCTGGCAACATTCCTTATACTTCCATTCTTTTTTTTTTTTTTTTTTTTTTTTTTTTTTTTTTAACACAGAGTGTCCCTTTGCCACCCAGGCTGGAGTGCAGTGGCATAATCTTGGCTCACTGCAATCTCTGCCTCCTGGGTTCAAGCAATTCTCTGTCAGACTCCCAAGAAGCTAGGTCTACAGGTGCCTGCCACCACGCCCAGCTAATTGTTGTATTTTTAGTAGAGACGGAGTTGCACCATATTAACCAGGCTGGTCTTGAACTCCTGACCTCAGGTGATTCACCCACTTCGGCCTCCCAAAGTGCTGGGATTACAGGCATGAGCCACTGCACCCGGCCCCTATACACTTCATTCTTTATCATGTTACTTCTGCTACGGTATGTCCCTAAATGCCTAACAAGGGATGTTTAGTTAGATCACTAAGCCCACAGTTTGAGGAGCTCTCTAACAGCTAATTCGCCTCTTTTCCTTCCTACTTTTATCTACCATCCAATGGCAATAATGGGGTCTGCGGGGCATGGACGTTCGGATGCTAGAGTTAGCTGCAACTGGGTGTAAGTCTCGGGTCTGCAGGTAACTATAAGCATGATGCTGATGGAGGTACTTCTACCAGTCAGAGTCCTGGAGAGAAATAGATGGCACTTTAACTTGGTTCATTGTTAGAGATTTTGCTATATACAAAAGTGTGATCTGTGTTTGAGGAGAAAAAAGGCAATAAAGGGGACTGCTGTGCCTCAGTTCTACTAACTACAGGAAGCTGTTTTTATCTCTCTAACTTAAGGGACAAGAGAGGGAGCAGTTCCCAGAATGGAGAGAGAAAGTGGGTTGTAAGGAGGGGGCCACCTCACAGGCTCCATGCCCTCAGAAAAAGGACACGAGGGTGGCAACCAAGCAGGGAGGAAGGGTACAGAAGTGCCATGACCTCACTCTCCTCCCTGCCGTCTATCTCATGACTGTGCCTCATACCGAACCCACAGAAACCAGAGGACATGGGAGCCTGCAGCCCTCTGGGTGCACAGGGCAAGGTGGAAAAACAAAAGGTAGAAACGAGCTGCCCCAGTGAGTAGCGAGTGGCAAAAAGAAGATATCAGCATTCTACTTAAGAATTTTCCTAGGTTTGCTATGGGATGTGGAGGTTGAAAGAGAGAAGGTATGCAAAGCGTGGGGCATGGAGCCTGGCCCACAGTATGTACTTGGCACAATGAGTTCCTCTAGCTCCCCTGCCACAGCTGGCAATTCAAAGGGTCCTCTCTATCACTGAAAACCCTGGAAGTATTTCACTGTAAAAAACTTACATACATGCTTTTATACGTGACTTATAGCAGGACGTGGTGGCTCACACCTGTAATCCCAGCACTTTGGGAAGCTGAGGTGGGAGGATCACCTGAGGTCAGGACTTCAAGATCAGCCTGGCCAACATGGTGAAACCCAGTCTTTACTAAAAATACAAAAAGTAGCCAGGGTTGCACCGATAGTCCCAGCTATTCGGGAGGCTGAGGCAAGAGAATCGCTTGAACTCAGGAGGCAGAGGTTGCAGTGAGCCAAGATTGTGCTACCCCACTTCAGCCTGGATGACAGAGCAAGACTCTATCTTCAAAAAGATAAAAAGTAAAAAAAAAAAAGATAAGTGACTTATATTGCCAAAATATACTGCAATAAATATGACATGCCATAATAGATTTATTTTCTAAACAGATGGGAATTTTTTTGAACTAACATTAGAAATAATGGCTTTGAATTAATAGCTTTGCTTCATACATGAGTTATCCAAATGAGTCATATTTGCAGTGCACAAAAGAAATTAATTATTCATAGCTTGCTAAACTGTCACAACAACAAAGTCTATCAGTATGAACTAGTGACCTGTCTTAAAAACAGTTTTATGCTTCTTGATCAATCAGCTATTCAGGCCTTCTAACTCAATGGCATTCGGGAAGTTATGGAGCAGTTTGCAGGATATATAAATCAGTGCCTGGGTTATCAATCATGAAAACGTTTAAGTCTATTGCGTGTTTTACAAAGCAAAAGCTATGATATATTAAACCCTAATTTACAAAGTTCTAAAAGCATTTTGTAAGTCAACCCTTGCCCATCTATCAGGACACAATGTATGCCAACAGATAATGCAGTGTCATTGATCCAAGCAAAAAGGAAGGTCTCTTAAAGATATCCTCGTATCATCTGTGAGTGACTCCTAGAAACCATGGTGGAAGCAAAGTTTAGGAGGGAGCATAAGGCACACGAGAACTGGGGGGTAGCAATACTGCAGCTGAAACATATTAAAAGTTGACGTTTAAATATATATATATATATATATATATTTTAAAACATTTATGACAACATAGTTAATATAATGCTAGAATGATACTCTACTTAATTACTTCACAAGATGGAATACTACTTTAACATGTGTTATAATCAGCAGGAGAAAATACCATTTGGGAGAAAATATCTGTCTTATAAAAGACTGGTAATATTGGACTTATTTTCCTAATTAAGACAACTTCCATTAGGACCAGTGAAATGAAATGCTCTTTTCACAGGAAAATATTCTGTAAATGCAACATTGATATAAATCAAAACTTGTACTAAGAGTAACTAAAGCAATTGTCCAAGCACCAAACATATTTCAATCCTGAATTGATCATACATTCATATCATTTTTTTAAATTGGCAAACTGTCAGTGTTTTAGTCTCTACTCATGTAGAATAAGAATAAAAATTACCATTAAGAGCTGAGGATTGGTGTGAAGAGTGACTAAAAATCTCAACGTAAACGTGGCCAGGAACAACAAAATCCTCTTTGTGTAACTTATCGAGAGGTGAGGGAGAAAGTAGTTTTCTTCCGTCATGCATGTTTCTGGCACAGTGTTGTGCAGACTATTGCCCAGTATGTGAAAGCAAAGGGGCAACATTCATCTTTCATTGCCAGAAACACCTGTTATTATTTACTTTTTCATTTTTAGATTTTTTAATTCTTCATAATTTTTTCAAATTGAAAAATACTGTATATCTCACTAAGAAAAGGAAGCTTAAATCTCTGGATGACTTCCATAAAGACTGACAAGTTATATCTGAACAAAATCTAGCATTAGCCATCAACTTTATCATTTGGTTTAGAGCAAATACCTTTAATATTTGGAGTTTCAGAATCCTCACGTATAAAACAGAAAAGTGTGGACTACAAGATGCCGAAGGACAAGTTTAGCTTTAGAATGCTACGAAATGTGTCAAATATCTATGTTTTTGGCTTTTTTTCTGAAAGAGCCAATTTCTGGGGTGAGCTTGCAGGAAACTGCCACCCCATTGATAACAGAAGATTTTACAGACCCAAGAAGAAGACTCACCAGGCTTCTTCCCCATGGAAAATTTTATTTTGTGAGAACCATGTTGGAAAACCTGAAGTCTGTCACATTAGGCTGCATAATAATGAATTACCCATTAACCACAGACCAGAAAAGGCAGGCTTGGTAAAATCTTTTTTAAAATAGTTTTTTTCAGAATCCATTTTTTTAAAAACGGGCATGTGTCTGTAGCTTTGATGGGTATTATTAATAGTTCCATCAGGTTTCTTACTGGGGCAATGCTGTCTGCTGCGGAAACTGGTATCTTTGACTTACCTGATGTGAGCTGTTTGAGCATCTACTCCATGGAAAACTACAGAAGTGACAACAGTTGTCTCTCCTAAGTCATGCTACCAGTCCTTGGCATGTGCCATCCAGCATACCCACAGTGTGAACATGCCCACTCCCACCATGATGAGCTACTTGTACCTGTGGTGTTTGACAGACTGGCGTCCTCTATCAGGAGAAGAAACCTCAGGGAATGTCTGGGAGCCGACAAAACTTGACTCCATCATTTTCTCCAATGCAGTCACAGGATGCCTTTCCACCTTTGAATACTGTGAGAAATCACATGCACAGAGTTGAGATGAAGGATAAGTGATGGAAGGAGGGCCTTTAACATTATAGCTAGGCATTAAGACGTTACTGGAATGACAATTTTCTCTGGTCACCTGATCAGGAGAACAGGAGATGAGACATAATTTGTGTCCTCTTTCCAACACATAGAGTATTCACCTCCCCTGCCCCAAGATTCTATGACTGTACGGGATCCAATGAAGAGGGTTCTTCATGTGAGAATCCCAAGTCTGCTATCTCATTTTAATGTACATCCATGGCACACTGTGCCTGGCAGCTGAAAGGCACTTACAAGTATGTTTTAGTTGATGTACATCTTACTGAAAAAACTGAATTAGTAGCTGGGTTACTAATAATAAAGATTCAGTAAATACTTAATGAATTTCATAACATTCTGAGAATTATGAAAGACATTGGTTCAGAATATCTGGCCACCACACTTCACTGTTTTTCTCTTTCAGCTTGTTACCAGGTAATTACCATATCTAATGAGAGAAATTTGTGAGCATTTCACTCCTTATAGCTCAGAACTCTCAGTTTTACCTTTGACCAGACTACAATAACTCATAAGGCATAGAAGCCTAAAGAAAGCTTATATAGATGACAACTTCAGAAAAACTTTATCCCAAAAGAAATATCACATGGCATCTCAAGAGCCAGTAAGTTGTCAACTTTAACACTCTCTGGACATTGGGCACTGGAACAGGTAGCAAGGGTTAGAAGATTTCTCCTTTAGAAACTCCAGGTGAAGACTCTCTAGAGATAGAATTTTAAGGGTGCAAATCAAAATAAAAGAGAATTGGGAATCTGGATATTCAGTACCCGATGTGTCAAGCTACAGATTTTAAGTGTTATCCTGAGTAACTGTAAAACTCTAAAACTCACTCAGTATACCGTGATTTTTTTTTTTTTCATTTCAAAAGCAAAGCCGGTATTGGAAGCATTGATGAAAAAAATCAAGTTAATCAACCTTTTTGAATCTCATATCTATATGGTGGGATAATAAAAACTCTCTTATAGGGCTACTGAAAAAAATTCACAAACAATACTTAATGCATTTGATCCAGGTAAAAAAAACAAGGTAGGTGCAATCATGAAGATGATACTTTAAGATGTTTTCTAGCCTTTTAGAAATATCATCTCTGAACTATAAGGAACTCAAGATAAATTCCACCCTAAGTCCCATTTCTAAACAATTGGTAGTGGCTGCTTGGAGTCATTTATTTACATAGATTCTAAAGATGACTTATAAAGTAAGACCTGAATAAAGAGAGAGTTATAACCAGAAGAAAAGCAAATCCAGGAGGAACGTGTGGGAGATGTTTTATTGTAACGTCTTTCTTAAAATGTCAGCTTTAAAATTAATACTTGAAAGTAAAGTCCAAATAATTTCAACATGGCTGGAAGATACTGATAAGAAAAAGAATACAAAAAGAGAGAAGCATAACCATTTATGAAACAAAAAATCCTAGCTAGGATTGTTGAGATAAAGACAATGTGATATGTGCATGCTCATTCATTTTAGACACTGATGAACAAAATGTATATATTTAAGTATTAAAAATTAGACAGCATTAGAATATAAAAATTATATAATATAGAAAACATGACAAAATTAAAATAATATTCAACAAAAATGAATAAGGGTGCTGTAACAAGACAGCATGGTAAATCAGAAATAAATAGGAATTTAAGTGTGAAACTATCAGTGATGATAACTGTGGATGGTTAGATTTAACTATTAAAAGACAGACTCAGTGATTTTAAATGTCTAGTCATCTATATTCTGAAAGAGTTATTTTAAAAACAACACAGAAAAAAAGTCGATAGAATGGGGAAAGATATACCCTGCAAAATATAAGGGAATAAGCTTTTAACAATAATAATTTCTATAAAATATAATTACATATAAAATGCATTTAAAAAGAAACAAACATGGATATTTCATATTCATAGAATGAGCAATCTACCAAGTGATAAATATTCATAGATTTTTGTCTACCTAACATAGCTTCAATATGAAAGGCTTTCTCAGGCCAGGCACAGTGGCTAACACCTGCAATCCCAGCATTTTGGGAAGCTGAAGTGGGCATATCACCTGAAGTCAAGAGTTCGAGACCAGACTGGCCAACATGGTAAAACTCCATCTCCACTAAAAATACAAAAATTAGCTGGGCGTGGTGGCAGGTGCCTATGATCTCAGCTACTCAGGAGGTAGAGGAAGGAGAATCACTTGAACCCAAGAGGTGGAGATTGCAGTGAGCAGAGATCATGCCACTGCACTCCAACCTGGGCAACAAAGCAAGACTCCATCTTAAAAAAAGAAAAGAAAGGCTTTCTCAGCTAGTCACGAAAATTATAAAGCATTAACATTGTCCTAACTTAATTACATACAAATTAAAAACAAGAGTACAAAAAATATTTCATAAACTAAAAGAATCTGTGTGGCAAGGAACATAACATGGATAACAGTAAAGTGTAATTTTAGTTTAATTTATATTTTTAGATTTTGATAAAGAGAAGTGATATAGTTTGTATATTTGTCCCCTTCAAATCTCGTGTTGAAATGTGATCCCCAGTGTTGGAGATGAGGCCTGATGGGGGGTGCTTGGGTCATGGGGGTTGATTCTTCATGAATGGTTTATGTCCTCCCTGTAGTAATGAGTGAGTTCTCATTCTATTAATTCCCAGAAGAACTAGTTATTTAAAAGAGCATGGCACCCTTCCCTCTTTCTCTCTTTTCTCTCTCACCATGTGACACCTGCTCCCCTTTCCCTTCTGCCATGAGCAGAAGCCTCTTGAAGTTCTCAACAGAATCAGATGTTGGCACCATGCTTCTTGTACAACCTGCAGAAGTGTGAGCCAAATAAACCTCTTTATAATTTACCCAGCTTCAGGTATTGCTTTATAACAATACAAACAGACTAACACAAGAAGATATGAATGAATTGTTTGGTTAATGGAAATGCATTTAAAAACCTTTATAAAGCTATATGGAAAATGGGAGAAAGGCATTTGTTACCAGGACAAAATACCTAGAGATCAGAAAGAAAAAACATGTAAAATTTGATGTACTACTTATTTAAATAAGTAATAAAAATGATTATTAGCAAATCAAAATATAAGTAAAAGCCTGGGGAAACATAGGCTATTCATATGTTAAAGACTATTCTTAACATATAAAGGCAGGAATCAACTGGAAAAAAATGAAAGTCAACAGATAAACAAGGATTTCACAGAAAAATAAAGACAGGCAATATGCATATGGCAAAGAGTGCAACTGCACTCATTATAAAGAGGTGGTAATCAGAATAGAGAAAATTAAGCTAAGTGCAGTGGATGCACAGCTGTAGTCTCAGCTACTTGGGAGGTGCAGGTGGGAGGGTCATTTGAACCCAGGAGCTTGAGACTGTAGTGTGCTCAGTGATTAGCTACTGCACTCCAGGCTGGGCAACCTAGAGAGATTCTGCCTTTAAAAAAAAAAATAGAGAAATTTAAATTTCAAGAGTATCTGGAAAAGGAATAGGTCCTGGAAAAGTAGCCTTGGCGCTAACTTGAAGAGCAAATTGACAATATGTTTCAAAATTTTAAATATACATACTCTTTGATCCAAAATATTACTTTTAGAATTTTCAACATGAAAATTTCCATCATTGCAAAAGTCCAAAATGATAATTTCCAGGGTATATTACCAGTACAATTTTCAATAACGAAATGGAAATAAGCAAAAAAAGTGAAAAAGCTTGGAAACAACAGAAATGTCCACAAATGAATACTACACAGCCATTAAAAAGAATGAAAAGAAGGTGCAAAAACATATACATATAAATCCATTTGTGTAAATAAGAAAAATGAAATTAATAGATATAGATTGTGATTATATTTGTGTTTATGTACACATAATTAGCCTGTGTATATATATATATATATATATACATACATATATATACACATATACAGATTTAATATGTACATATACCTATATTTTTCTGTGTGCATTTGCATGTGTGGGTTTCTCATGCAACTACTTAGGAGGCAGATTTTTAAAATTAAAATAAATTATAAACTATCTAATTAGGTGCTATGCTTGGTAAAAAGTATATCCATGACTATAAGCTATGGAGACTAGGGAAAATATCAAGGTTTTGCAGCTTCAAGTTCAAAAGCTCCAATTAAATGTTTTCTTTTCAAAAACTTCCAAAATAAGCCACATAGTGGCAGTAATGACCGTGTCTTGAAAAAAATTTGGAAGCAGAATCCAAATTTTTCACAATGGACCTATAAAGACTGGTCAGTCTTTTTGCAAAATGGAGTAAAATGACAGAGAACCAGAGAAGATACAGAGATAATTTGGAAAAAAGTCATTGCTTTCAAGAACCTCAAATAACAAAGATCCAGTAAATAATGGAAATACTCTACGTGTGCTTCATTATTGATTAATCATGTATTGCAAAGTATCCATGGAAAAAGTCAGACGAATGGACATGTTTACTAAAGAAATGAATGGACATGTAACAACATCCTGAACGTCTCTCTGACTTTCAAGTTCTATATAACTCATATTACATATGAGGGTTTGTTATCCTTTTTTTTTTATCTAACAAATTGCTTTACAAGAAAAACTTAGGTGCCTAGAAAGCCTAGCTACAGAAACAAGTGAGATGCTCTGGGCAAATGCATGGCAAATTGAAGAAAGCAAGTACATTCAGCAGAGAGCTATGATATGGTTTGGCTGTATCCCCACCCAATCGCATCTTGAACTACAGCTGCCATAACTCCCACGTGTTGTGGGAGGGACCTGGTGGAAGATAAATGAATCACTTATGCGGTTCCCCCATACTCTTCACATGGTAGTGAATAACTCTCATGAGATCTGATGGTTTTATAAGGGGAAACCTCTTTCACTTCGCTCTCGCTTCTGTCTTGCCTGCTGCCATGTAAGATGTGCCTTAGGCCTTCCACCATGATTATGAGGCCTCTT